CCACAAAGATTAGGCCATGGTCACTGGGGGATGAAAACTCCACATACACATATTTTATTTTGACTGATGTTCTCTTATGAGTTTAAAACTCATAAGACTCATACCTTAGCAGTACTAAATAAAGAGGCAATGTTTAATACTGAAATTGCCTTCCCCAGCTGTCTGGTGAAATTGAATCCAAACTCTTATTTTCCTTCAATTGAATGCAATATATGTTCATACTTCATAACACTGAGTGAGTGAAAGATCTTTCAGACTCACTTACAAGAAAGAAGAAACAGCCTTCCCCAGAGCAAGATTGCATTTATTTACAGATTGCTCTGCTAAAAAAACCCAGACCAAATGATGATTGCTGCTGAAAGATGATACCTTGGGAAGTGAAAACCTGGTACAACTGGATCTAATCACTTGAGGGAGTGACAGCAGCTCTCATGGCTTCCTGGCTGTACAGATGTTTGTTTGTCATGTTTGCCTTTCCTTCAAGGAAACCACTGAAAGGATTTATACACCCAGAAAGACAAAGTCTCTGTTAGACAAAACCTTGCAATTCTCAGATCTTCTGCTTCAATAACACTGAACTCAAACCACATAATAGCAGTCCAGGGAGAGCTGGTAGTTTTCTCCTTATTTTCACCTTTAAATTACATTAAAAAAAATTATCTAGATAATTCCTTGCTCTCAGTTTCCTGTGTTCTTCTGTGAGTGGCTGTCCCAGTGATGTGCCAAGGTGATGGAAGGAGCAGCACATGGAATGTTCAGAGGCGAGCTGGGCACAGCCAAGCTGCATTTGCTGTATCTGACCTCAGCTTGTCCAAAAAGATTTTCAAAGCATGTCACACCTAGAAAAAGCAGACTCATGGTCTGTCTGCATTCCCAAGTCCTAGGCTGGCCGTGCAGCTTGGACTGCTGCATTTGGTTTGGCTGTTTTTGCTTCCTCAGCGTCTGCTGCCTGCTGTGAGGGAGCTCACATTGCTCTAAAGTGAGAAATGACTGGGCTTTTTGCTCTGATGTATCCTAACATGCATTTTTACTCCCTATGAACATCACTGGCACTCTGCTGAGATTCCTTCCTGTGATTTGCTGTGTGGCTCTTGTGTTTGGATTCAGCTGGATCATAAGTAAAACAACAGGAGAAAGCTACAGTCACAAATCCATCCACAACAGACCTTCCTTGGCCTTGTACACCTCACATGGATTAATATTCTCTGTGTCATGGGTACTTGTGTGCCTGCATAAACTGAACACCCTGACCTAAAGTTTTCATGATAATTTTCTCACTCTGTCCCCTGCTCTTGAGGTATGAATAATTCTTGTGTTCTCAAGTTTCCTCAGGAGGATAAAAAAATAAAAGGCAAAGATGCCAAACTAATCAATATTCATAAGATGGAAAGGCTTATCTGAGCTTTTAAGTGGCAGAAGAGACACCAAATGTAAAAGTGTTGTCTACAAGCTTTATGTCTGAGCTGTCACTTGCTCATGGGTATGGAAAGCAGATTTCTAGAGAAAGACCTTCAAGACATCCCACTACCTCAAAGTGTGATAAACTTCTCCTAATCTCTTTGTAATTGCTGTTGTCCAGCATGAGCCTTGAAGGCACTGGAGTTCCCTTTTGGGATGTTTTAAGAATTCTAAGCCAGCAAAATTCATTGAGAAAGTAGAAATAGAACAAAATCTCACCTAGGCTAAATATACACTCAGTCTGTCAGCATTTATTTTCCAAATTGCTTTGCAGCAAATTGTTATTCATCTGTGTGAGTGGAGGGAAGCAGGTCAGCAGAACAATGATGTATCTATAGTAAATTGATGGATAGTTACCAGCAAAAGTCAAACAAAGGAAAAGCAGCCTCAGCACTCTGATCCCAGGGGTTTCTTTCTTCCTGAGAAGCTTGCAGAAGTGCATACGGAGATTACTGCTGTGCTGTGGTTATCTGTTACCCATCCCTTCAGTGCTGGTCATGCTCTGAAACAATAAACAGCTCGGAAATTCAGCACAGCATTAGCCCAAACCAGGTACATTCAGGGTGCTTCCCACTTTGCTCTGTTTTGTTGGAAACAAACAAGAAGAAGAAGAAGAAGTCGCATTTCTTCCCCTCTAGGTGCCAACATGAAGTGCAAACTGGTGTGGTGTTCCCATCCTGACAGTCAGTGCTGAAAGGGCTGTTGGGAGCCTTCCCAAGGCGTGAAAGCATGAAAAATTTGTGAACAACAGCAAACCCACGTCAGTTTGATTCTGCAGTGACAAGCTGTAAGATCTGCCACTGAGTCTACTGCAGCAACCTCACCCTGGCCCAGATTTGAGCTTCCTGGGGCATTACTGGTCATGCCACAGCAACTTGGACAAGTCCTTATCACCTAAAGGTTACAGACTAACATTACAAAAAGTTAACTGCTGTGAGCATGAATTAGTTTGAATTAGGATTGCTAAAGTAGAAGGAGTAAACTGGAAACACTCACTTGTGAGCTGTGGGCCAAAGGCAGAATTCTGATACGGAAAGAAGAAGGGGAAGCTGGAGGATGCCAAAGCCTGTGGTACACTCAAATCCAGCTCATGGCTCTGTGTTGTCCTGTAAAGAGTTTCCCATGCAACACTTGCTTGCCCACACAATTCAAAGGGTAGCCCAGGGCCAGTTTGCTTCCAAATCTCCCCTGCACTGTGAGGAAGAGTTTCTCTGCTTGCTGTTTGCTCACACGTGGGGCACACAGAAATATCCCAGACAGGTCCTATTTGATCCTTCAGCGTTGTTGGTAGGCATGTGGGTGTTGTTTTTTTTTTGTTTAGGGGTTTTTTTGGTTGGTTTTTTTTCATGAAACTCCATAAATAAACTTCATTCAGTAGCTATTGTGGTGCCAGTGTTTGAGGACTTGAAGAGGAACTGGCTTCAGGACAACAGCCCAGCTTAAATAAGATAAATTTCTTGCTTGCAGAGAAGAACAAATTTCAAGCATCAAAGAATGTTGCTGAGCTCTCATTTGGCTTTCAGGTGCCTTTTGTTGTCTTGTAATTGATTTTTATTAGATGGTACTGTGAGAGTAGGACTATGGCCATACAGAGAGAATTAATGCAGAGAGAGTCGGCTTAGGAAGTCTGTGGCTATTAGCTTTATCAAATTATACTTTGAAAATGGGTTAATAAATCTAGAGGAGAAGGAAGGGAGGAGAAGGTCTTTTGAATTATTCATCATTTGTTTGACAAGTTTACATAGCCATGAAATGCAGGTGGGTGTATAAGGAGTGGGTTATTTATTAATTACATATGAATTGCACAGACTTTTCCCTCTTGCAGCCAGATCTGTTTTCACAACTTAGCTTTGACTACAGCTGGACAAATTCTTTTTTGCCTTCAGCTGAAGAAATTCTAAGTACCTTTGAAAAATCCAATCCATCAAAATTCAAGTCCAGTTTATTTTTTCACTCTTAGCATCAGTCATTAACTATTCTTGATAATGAAAGGACTGAGGAGGAAATGTTCATGTATCACATTCTGGAGAGCGAGTGTGCAAGAAGCCAAATGAGCACTGTGGGGTTTTTAGGCTTTATTTTGATATCTGTGCCCAGAGAGTGAACACCAGAAATTGAAGACTGCTCTTACTCGTGCTGGAACTTCATAACCTTCTAGAAAAGCCTGAGGAAGGTGAAGATCTGAGAGGGCTTTATGGGGTAATGTTTTTGGCAGATGGAATGCATAACATGCAGCTCCTTTTCGAGAACAAATGTGAAATCTGTGTCAGGAACCGTAACTGAAAATACCTCCCTCAATCCACAAGTATTTCTCCTTCTCCCTTAACATTCTGTGTAGTCTTATTTTGTGCCCTCTGCAAAGACAGAGCAGACTTCACCATCTCTAGCTTTATTTTTCTACCAAAATGTCAACATTTGAGTCTACAGCTCATGTACCAACAAAACACTCTTTGGGATTTCCCCTTCCCAGATTTATCTGCATGGAATTTTTACTCATGCCATTTGCATTGTACAACTGCCCATTTTTTGCAGGGCACCTGAACAGACTGTGAGCAAACTTCCTTTCCATAGCAGAATTAACCCGAAGTGTAGACACAACACAAAGATGTATTTTCTTTGAAAACAAGTACAAGCATTCCATGATTTCGCCTCACTTGTTGCCCAACCTGTAGCAAAGCAGGTGATTCACATAATTTTGGGGTTTCGAACATTTTTTATTGCTTTTTCAAGTAAAATCAAAAGAGGTCCTTTGGGAAGGATCAATGATCAAGGTTGATCCTCTGCTGAATTATGTTGTCTGCAAAATCAAGTTTTTCCCTTCAGCCCTGAGAGGATATGAAAATATTTATGTTTATTCTGACATTCTGCATCTCAACCCTTTCTGCTCCATACTTAAAGGGCCTGTTAATACAGAAGATTCATACTTGTGGATGGAAATCACGTGGGTGAGATTACTCAAAGATTGATCCTGGATGGTTTGGGGATGTTATAAATGCATATCATATTATTGGCTTTTCGCAATTATTATAATGAATGTTAAATGTATAAGATTAGAAAATTTAGCTGTATTAATATAATTTCCTTTATTTCTGTTATTGATGAAACTTAGAAATAGTGGTATAATACATATATGTTAAGCTATGGCATAGTATTAAAATAAAAACTACTTTAGTTTGTATAACCCAAAGACTGAAAAAGATGGTTACAGACTCCCTCCATTCTTAGATTATCTCATCCAGATGAGGACAGCAGTGACCAGAGCTCTGGGGGAGGAATTTATTGCATTTCTGTTACCAGGAAATTCAGTGGAGCCAAGGAGATTGATTAATTGGGAAGGGGGAGAGTCAAAAACTAAAGAAACATCCAAAACTTAAGAAGAAAGTTTGAATCACGTATGAGAATTTATGGATATGTAGTAGGGTTCTGTTTTTAAGGGACAATCCTTTGTTAGTAAGGTGAATGCAGAGACACCCGGCCCTATCTGTATACTTTATTTTTATCTCCTAATTGTCTTTCTATTAAACTTTTAAATTCTATAAGAAAAATATGTGAACCTCGTTTTTCACAGGGAGTGCCACCATACTCCTGACAGCTCCCAGACGAGGAACCCTGGGGGATTTGGGAGCACTGGTGGTTTTTTGGGGAGAGGAGGCTGGCTCTGGCCTCACAGCTCCTCCCTCCAGGGGCGGTGATGCTCGGGCGTTTTCTGCTCCATCAGAACAACAGGTGGCACGGAGGAGGTGAGGAATTTACTCAATACTCAGATTGTTTCTAGTGTCTGATGGGAGTAAGGATGGGGGCAAACCGTGCTGGTTCAAGTAATACACAGGCTGGTGGAGGGTTTTCTTGCCCAGACACTCCCCGTGGCCAGCAGTTGGTTTGGAATAGTGGCACCACCTGAGCCTTTTGGTGAGCTGGTCCTTCAGACCCACGGCTGGGAACGCACAGAGCAGTCACTGACTCACCATTGGTACCACTCTGCCTCTTTATTTATGTGGAAAAAACCCCATTTTCTGTAGCAGATGGACAAGTGGGAAGGGAACAGCCTGCAGGAGGGGCAGGGCATGGCTGTGAGACCTGCAGTGCTCCAAGAATCAGCAAAACTGTGCAAAAGTTCCAACAACCACTTCTTAAAGCCAAAGGATGCCAAACTCCACTAGAGGCCATTCACCAAACACATCCAACACATCCCAACAGTCTCTTTTCCCAGACACATCCCTCAGGCCTGAGAAATGGTAATGAGAAGAGGGGAAAGGCATTCTTCTCAGTGGGAAAGGCTTTAAAATATACCAGCATTGTACAGAAGAATGAGGCACCCTGAGTGCCACTGGAGCTGTAGATGTGTCAAATGGGACAGAGACTTTATATGAAATAAAGCTTTAGAAAGGAAAACCTGTCATTTTTGTGTGAGAAGATAGGTCTCACTTCCATAAGAGTACTATATAAAAATCCCCAGTCTGCCCCAAGATACTGTCTGACATACAGATTACTCATTTATTTAAAGGATAACGAATAAGTCTTAAAGTGTTGTGAGAATCTTCTGAATTAACATTCCTTGGTGTGATGGAAAGAAGCTCAGTCCTTCCTGACAGGTACCTCAGGGACCATTTTGGCTGAGATCAGAGGACTCAGAATTTGATACTGTCATTTTCCATTGGTAGGTCTGATATTTTATATCAATAAAAATCTGCAATGAAAGTTTAGTCTGTCCTGCAGACTCTTGGACACAAAGCTTTTCTGCAGATAGTTGTGCTGGGAAGCCAATGTGGTTTAGTTGCTGATTTAGTATGTTAGAACATTCCTGGTCTAGGTAAGTTGTAGCTTTTGAATGGAGTTTTCCAGGGTAAATCACATGCTGAGCCTGGGCTAGGCTGCCTCATGAATGACACATACCAAACCAATTTGAGCAGCTAGATTTTCGTTAATTTTAAATGTCATTGACTAACTCAGTAGCCATCTGTCTTAGTTGGATTAATACCCTGATCATCACACAAAATTTTGTCTCTTGTGCAGTACTGAGAGTCGAGGAGCCAATCTCTGGATGCAGTGTGAAGCCACCATCCTGCCTGGTGCTGTCCCCATGGAGGATAACCTGAATCCTGCCCTTTTTCCAGGGAAACACAGCCAAGCATGGCACAGAGAGACTCTGCTGAGAGTGAATTTTTTGCTGTATTCCCTCACACAATCACTGTTCTGGTTCACTGTCCCAAGCCAGGTTGGACGGGGCTTGGAGAACCTGGGATAGGGGAAGGTGTCCCTGCCCATGGCAGGGGGTGGAACAAAATGGTCTTTAAGGTCCTTTCTAACCCAAACCATTCTGGGATTCTGTGATTCACAGATGTGGGGGTTAATGAAGTAAAAAGGAATGAGTCAGTACAGAGAAGCAATGTTTAACTGGTTTTGTACTCAATACATCAGTCAGAAGTAGCACTGGTCCTGCCCATGGATTCTGCGTATGTTACTTGTCATTCTGCTTCCCCCCTGGCTACCACCTGTAAAAGCCCAGATATTCCCATCCAAACAGCTCACCCAGAGCTTTAAAGGTAACCAAAAACCCTCTTGTACACAGAGCATTTGAAGAAAAATTTCCTGCTGCTGTCACAGGTCCATGTGATGCTGTCTTCTCTAATTTTGCACTGGGTTTGTGTGAGGACTTTACACTTTCCAAGCCCTTGGAGAGAGGAGAATTGGCAAATAAGAGTGTATGTACATGTGGAAAACATCCAGGGGGTTTTATTGCTGACCTAGACTGTAATAAAGAGTATTAGCTGTGTAAAATTCCTGCCCTTTAGAGATGTGGCTGACACAATTCACTGAAGGTTTTCCTGTGAGAGGCAGTGGCTCTCCCAGGAGTGATTTGCTGTATTTGGCTCCATCTTTTCCATCCACAGAAGCAAACCCTAACTCTGTGTGTCACTCATTGGACTGGGTCAGATTGTTGTGCCATAAATTCAGATAAACATTTCCTTCCCCCGTGAGATTCCATCAGGATATTTGAATCCAATCATATCTTTCAGTGCTCAGTGGGTTTATTTTCCATCTGCATGTTCTCTATTAGTCTGTGTCCAAAGCTGTTCCCACTATTCCTTATTGCAGTGCCAGGCCAGGGCATTTCCTCAGCTTTCCTTGGAGGAAAACAAATGAGAAAAACTTTGGAAGAATTTGTCTGTCTTTTGAGGAAGAAAACCCAATATGGATATGAGAGAACATATTATTGTTGTTATGAATTATGTCAATTGGGCTCCCAAAACTTACACTGCATTTTAATTACTGAGTGATACTGGGGACCCTAAAAGGCATAAAAATGTTTATATTCATCCCAGTTAATGTAAAGGAGGACAAAGGAAGAGGTAGAGTGTCTTTTAAGTTTTTTAATTTCATTTCCTGCTGCTGCTGCTTGTTTTTATTTTAAACCTTCCTTAAATTTTGGCTTTATTCTCTTTCCTCTTTAAAGTTCTGTCTCTTTTTGATATCTGGTGTGTAACTATTCACTAAATGGCTTCTAATGTCAGAAAGAAGGAGTTCCAACGGGTGATGAAACATTTCTATATTTGTGAAAATCTGTTGTTTAATTTCCAAATTGCCATTCAAGTGAAAAAAGAGAACAATTTCATGTTTTCCTTCTCGAATGGGGGAAATGCCTGAGAATTTTCAAGCCACTGACAACCCGTGGGTTCTTCCCACTTACACCACTTCAGCTTTGTTGATTCAGACAGGGCAGCAAGCACAGGCCCCAGGACACATCCTGCTATGTTTCTCTGGGTTTTTGGCTGTCATTAATGTGGCTTTTCCCATTTCCTGCAAGGTTTTTAGAGGGGTGTGAGCCTTCCCTGACAGCAGCGTGTTTCTGTAATGTCGATTTTATGGAGGCTGCTGCACACATGCTGCCTGTGGTGCCAACAGCCAGTGACAATCTCCAGATGCTGCTGAGGGTTCTGCAGGAATTCGTGGGGCTCAACAGGCGGCCAGAGCTTCTCTCCACCACCTTTTGCTGAAGAAAACACCTTTGCCAAGCACGGAGCCCTCTTTGCTGTGGGCTCCCTAAGTGGAGGGGATCCTGCTGTGCATTTCCACGTCCGTGAACTGCTGCACGTTCTCGGTGCTCTCCGGGGAGGTGATGGGGGACACAACGTGCTTCAGGCGCAGGAGCATGGAGAAAAGCAGGATCAGGAGGAGAGCCAGGAGGGTGAGGAACAATCCCACATACACGTAGAGGCCGGAATATTTGTCTGCTGTTGTGTCTACTTCAGTAGCCAGAGTTGGAAGGTGGACACGGCCCGTCAGGTTTCCGTGGAACTTGAAATAGATCTCAGTCATTGCTCTCTGTCAGCTTTGGTCCATTTTCCGCATTTACCTTCGGATCTCCTGCCTCCCCTCACCAGACTCACAAAGGAGGTCAGGAGGGGAAACTTAGCACAGATGGCACGGTGGCTTCAGCAAGAGATGCTCCATCCTCAAGGCTGCTGCTCACACCGCGGAGCAAACTGCGAGGGACAGGCCTTTGCAAACCATTTTGCACATTGCTGTCATAATGACAACGAGCATCACACTTGTGATTTACACTTCCTTCTGGCTTTTATTCCATCCTAAAAATGCTTTGGGTCTCCTTTTGGTAGGTCACCTCCTTTGGATGGTGAAAAGCTTTGGTCCTGCTCTCAAGCTGAGCTGCGAGGGTTTGCACAGCTTTGGTCCTTGCAAGTGTTGGTTTCTCCAGACAGACTGAGCAATCAGCTTTCTGCCAGCTTCTCTCTCCCACAGCAGGTGGTTTATCCTTGGGTGAGCTGGGGAAGGTTGTTCCCCGCTTTGCCAAACCTCTGGGGGATCTCTTCTCTCCTAATTCAGGGCTTAAGGAGTATGGAGTTCTGAGTTTCTCATTAGGAACGGTCAAAAAGTCGACTTCCTAAAGGGAAAGAAGTGTGTGTGTGAGAGAGAAATGACACCAGGTACCAAAATAGCCTAGCCTGGATGTGGATTCTTTAGAGTAAATAGGTAAGAAAACCCTGGTCATGCTCCTTTGAGATGAGGAGGAGCACTGAGTGTTTAACTTTAGAAAATCCACCATGCAAATCTAATTGTTAATGTCCTCTCTGGTAACACATCACTTGAGGGTGCAAGAAGGCCCCACAGTTTGAGGAATCAGATGCCAGAGAGAGAGATATGAATCCAATCGGTGTTTTTCACCATGTGTCTCATTTATTGTGTATCAGCACCCTTGTTTTCTGAGGCTGGATGCACCTGGCAGCTATCCAGAGCCCTGCCTGTCCCCCTGCTGCAGGATGTGACACTTCCCTCACCTCCTGGCAGCAGAACTTACTAGAAATTGGGGGCCTTTTAATGCTTTAGCAGTGTCAGTCCTTCCAGCTGGAAACAAAAAAATGAAAATGCTGAAATTTCACTGTAAATGGTGCATTCAAAATGTTCAAAAGCATCCTGTTCTGCTCTGATAAGACCAGAATTTTGGTTTTAGCTGAAACAAAAATGAAAACACTGAACAAACTGATGCAATCATTTATAATGTCCACTGCCTATAAACATCCATGAGATGTAAACGGAGTAATAGTATTAAGATGGTAATATACTATGATAATCAGAATAAATGAAACATTAGGTCAATATGATAAAAGCTCTGACACGTGACATTTCACCTTAATGACATATTGCTGCAAAACATTTTGACTTTCAAGGGACTCAAACTTGCACTACAAGCAAGAAAGACCTGCTTTGGCTCATGTGATGAGGAAATATCTGATTTGCTGAGTTTTTGGAGAAGGGACATGGGAGCTTGGATACACTTTGCCTCCCAGTTCCTTCTTGGGTGCCAAAGCATTTGAGGTAACAGCTATCCAGTTTGGGGAATAAACTGGACCAGAGCCTGCTCAGTAATAAAATGGCCCAAATTGCTGGTTGAGAAAGTGGCCTGGGGATTTGACTCCTGCAGTCCCTGTGTGGGCAGGGGACTCTGAGCTGTGCTGTGTGGAGGAGGCCCTGGGCAAGCTCAGAGTTTCTCCAGGGGCTGACCCAACCCCTCTGGAGCCAGTAACTCTGGCAGAGAATTTGGTGCAGAGCAAATATGGGCAGGGCAGCCAGGCTCTTCTGCTCTCAATTACAGGGCAATAACTGTGATTTTTCACACTTGGAATCTATAAATGGAAATTCTTCCCCCGTGAAGAATATTCTCATGTTACACAGCAGGTGGGAAATAGAGGGTGTGAAGGTAACTGGATTAAATTCTGTTCTTACAATATGATTTCTCTGCTGATAATGAAGTGCAATCAGTCTGGAATTTGACACTTGTGTGAGTTAAAGTACAGAGCAATGTCTTTGCCCATCCCATCTGCTCTGTTACTGAGAGAAAAAGACAGAGCTGCTTTCTCTCCTTAACGAGCACAGAGCCTAATGGCTTTATATCCTTCATAAAATTAGACTGCAGAATGCTAAGGACATTTGTCTGAAGTTCAATAATTAACTACAAACCAAGATGTTGAATTAGTAAAGCTCAGCTGGTCATTTATTGATAAAAGGAGCAGTAAGAAGTATTAGCAATGGGTAGCTGGCACTGTTTGGGATTTTTTTAGGCTCAACTATAGATTTGTCAGGAGCAATCAACTATTGAAAGCTGCAACATTAACTGCATCTTCTCCAGAAATGAGCCAGAAATAATTCAATAGCTCCAGGCAACCCCAAAGATTTTTGCTTTTCAATCTACCAATTATCCCACTGAGCACATCTCTTTGGATAGCAGTGGATTTAGATCCTGTACACTCCCCTTTACGGAATAGAAGCTGAATGACTGTAGAGACCAACATGGTGTGAAAATAGGTGGCACCCAATAATTCTGTGTGTAAAGCAGGTCAGACTATAACTGTGTATGACTCAGATTAGTGGAGGCAGAACCTCACTGGTTACCGTGAGGAGCTCTCAAGTTCATGGACACAGGAACATTCCCTGTGATCTCAGTTTCCAAGATTTAGTCATTCTCTGGCTGAACAATGCTCCAATTCTGAGTGACTGCTGGTGCTCAGTGGGTGCAGACTGATTCCCAGCAGACGCTTGGGGGGGTTTTTTTATCAGTTTGTGGCTTTTTTAAATCAGGGATTAAAAAAAGCCAAACCCAAACCCAACACATTTCATTTAATAAAAATCTGTAATGAAAATAGAAGCCTTCATACACAACAGGAGAAGGGTTTTTTTCCCAGAGTGTGTCGCTGAGCCAGGAAATTCATCAGCCAAAACTTGATGGGTACTGCCATTCCCAGCCTCCCACTGCAGCTATCAGGGTCTGGGTTTATGACCCCTGTTTTGCTCTGCTCTGCACATTTGGAGGTCACAGGGAAGCAGAAAGAAAGATTTCCCCCCAAACAGTGCACACAGGCAGTACAGACTGATCCTGCAGCTGCAGTAAATGTTTTTCTCTTGCCCTCCTGCTTCCTTCTACTCCCGTGCTCAGTGTGAGCATCTCTGAAAGTGAAGGCAACTTTCCTGCCCTCCCCTTTGCTTCTGCTCCCACTCTGGTCCTTACCAACGGGTCAAGGGGACAAAATGGAACAATTTCTTGTGCAGCTCCTTCAAGTGCACCCAACTGTCTGGCCAGTGTGGTTTGGGTTTGAACACACAGCACCAGGTGTGCTCTGTCTAGGTCACCTTTACAGAAAAATATCAGCACTGAGGAAACGCAAAGAAAACATCAAAAGTATCAATTCCACCCATGGCTGGCATTTTCTCCCTCAGATCCAGGGAGGGTTTGAGGGGTAGAAGAGAGCCAGGGGGGTGATTGTGGCTCCTCTTTCAGGGGCAGAGGAGATATTTTCTTCCCATGCTGAACGTGTGTGAGTGCTGGCTGTGGCGGTGCGTGGGGAGAGAATTCAAAGAGTAAAATTCAAAGAAAAAAAATAAAATAAAAAGAAGATAAAATTAGTTTTTCAGTTACCTTTCAGAGCAGGCAGCAGTCCCTGCTTCAGACCACGAGCTTGGCGATTCCCCCGGGAGCATGCCGCAGCTTTTGGCCGGAGTCAGGACAGCATCCTTTCAGCCCAGCTCACTTTCCCCCTGTGCCGCTGCTGTCCCGGGCAGGGCCGGCTCTCCTCGCGGTGCTGGGCAGAGCGGCAGCGCCGCCGGGTCCCCGCAGGCAGCGGGGGAAGGAAGGGCTCGGAGCTGGGAGCCGGCATGGAGGCAGAGCCCTCCCCCGGCAGCCACGGGCAACAGGCAGGGGATGGGGAGGGATGGAGGGAGGGATGGAGGCTCTGAGCTCCGCTCGCTGCAAAGTTTCTGCGAGGCGAGGATTAACCCTTTCGTGCTTGCGAGGCTGCGCTGCCTGCTGATTGAGGAGTGAGACGTGAGCAGGGCAGCTTAGGAGTTTCTGTCGTTTTCTGGGGGATGCAAAGAGGTTTTTTTTGGTTTTTAGTTGGTTTTTTTGGTTTTGTTTTGTTGGGGTTTTTTGTGTTTTCTTTTTGGTTTTTTGGTTTTTTTTATTTTTATTTTTATTTTTATTTTTATTTTTATTTTTATTTTTATTTTTATTTTTATTTTTATTTTTATTTTTATTTTTATTTTTATTTTTATTGTTTTATCTTATTTTTATTTTATTTTTCTTTGAATTTTATTTCTTTTTTATTTTTATTTTTATTTTTATTTTTATTTTTATTGTTTTATCTTATTTTTATTTTTTGATTTTTTCTTCGAATTTTATTTTTTTATTTTTACTTTTTTATCTTATTTTTATTTTTTGAATTTTACTTTTATTTCTATTTTTATTTTATATTTATTTAAATTATATTTATATTTATATTTATATTTATATTTATATTTATATTTATATTTATATTTATATTTATATTTATATTTATATTTATATTTATATTTATATTTATNATTTATACATTTATATTTATATATTTATATATTTATATATTTATATATATTTATATATATTTATATATTTTTATATATTTTTATATATTTTTATTTTTATATTTATATTTATATTTATATTTATATTTATATTTATATTTATATTTATATTTATATTTATATTTATATTTATATTTATATTTATATTTATATTTATATTTATATGGGGTTTTTTTGTTTTGTGCCTCCTGGGGAGGGTTACCTGGTGAGGGCTGCCAGGGTTCCTGTCTGGAGCACAGGCAAGTGTCACCTTTCAGCTGAGACCCTCAGGGTGGTCCCCAAGCGTTGCTCTTTGGCAGTGGAGCTTTTGGTGCATTTTTGTCCCTGTGCCCACTGCTTGGGGGTTTGGGAAGGGCTGTGTTGAGTTTACAGGTCCTGCCTCACCTGAGTAGCTTGAAACTGCAAGAATGAGCATAACCCCAACTCTGCAGTGTTGTGGGCAGAAATTATTTTCTCTGATTTACGAATGTGTGAAGCACAAATTTACAGAGAAGGTGCCACAGAAATGAGGCAGAAGGAGTCAGAACTGGGTGAGAACCCAAACCATGAGGATCCCTCTGACTGCCACCCCTTTTACCTGCATTTCTTCACCCTGCCAGGCTGACAGAGTGGGGAGGTTTTGTGACAGATGTCACTTTGGGATGCACTGCAGCCGTCCCCAAGGCAGAGGAGGTGACCAGCACACGAGATGGGGGAGCTGCAGATTGTGAGCTTGTGCAGCTGTGTGCAGCTGTGTGCAGCTGTGTGCAGCTGTGCTTCACGTCCCTGTGTCCCTGTGCCCCAGCAAGGGCTGCAGGCACCTTCATGGGCTCAGCCTGACCCACAGCCCCACACTGACCTCTGGGCTAATGGAAGTTCCCAGATTGTCTTTCATGGCCGGTGTTTGGGGCACTGGAAACAAGCTTCCCCTCTGAAAAGTAGGTCCCACACAGGGGTTTGGGAAAGATGAATTCATTCTCTCTCTCTCTGCAGCTTTCTGAGTGACAAAATAGAGATATTTAATCTCCAAACTGGCTCCTAGAATAGCTTTCCCTCTCTGGCTCTCCATGGCCACAGCCTGAGTGGAGGGGCCAAAGGGTAATGAAAGCCAGAGCTGCACAGCTCTTTAATCCTCCTGGGATGCAGAGCTGCATTATAAATCCATCTCTCCAAGGGCTCCTCAGTCTCTGGAGTTCACAAGCACAGTGTATTATTACAATGCAGCACTCTTTAGATAAATAAAACATGGTCCCTTAAAAGAAACCCCAATTCCTCCATGCTTCTGAGCAGGGATGAACTCTCTCTAAACCAAGACATAAAAAGGTGGCTTTGATTGCTGATTTTATTTCATATTTCTTTTGTTGCAATATCAAGTGCTGTCCCCAGTATTGCAGTCTCTGCCACCATCCCCTGCTAGGCACATTGGAATGAAAGTACAGTCAGAAAGCAGAAGGAAGACTGTGTATTTTTCCCCTGGAATTGCTACAATTGCTGCTTTACCAACAAACCACCTGACAGCACCTCCAGACCCTTGGCACACGTCCTTGGATTTAAGAAGAAACAAGTGAGAGATGTGTTTAAGCAGGAATTATGCTGCTGGTTGAATTTATGGGACCCAGAAGAGACAGATATGTTGAAACCTTGCATCCTTGCTTGCTATATAATGCTAATGAGCAGTGCTGAAATGAAAGGCTCTCTCCCTGTCCATGCCATCCAGCTTCTCTGCTCAGCTTTTTTCCCCTTTGTTGATTTTGCAGTAAATTATCTCTCCCTTTTGTAGGACCAAGCTGCTGCTTGCCGGGTGGGTGCACTTGGATTTCTTGTTTGCTTTGTAGCAGGGTATAATAATGACAGATGAATTTTAAATACTGCCACAATTTATACCAGCTGAGGCTGATGAATACTTGACTGAATGATTGCTGAATTCCCGAATTGTTGAGATGTATGTAAATTTTTGGGACAATCAGTGACAAGTTTGTGTTACATAAAATGAAGGTGTACAAATTCCTTTGGAGATACTCAGAGATATGACCCCAGTGAATGTAAATTTTTAAACATACTTTGGGAATTTGGGGGCAAAAATCCAGAGAGCTTGTTGGACTCCTTCCTTTGCACTATTTGGCCTGTGTCTCAAGCTTTTAATCAGGTCATTTTACACATCTTTCTCATAATGATCCCCACCAGTCTTAGAGTGATATTTGGATTTGAGAAGCAAAGAAGATTTCTGGATGATTGTTAGTGAGTATAATCTGTGTGTTCCTATAGGGATCCTTGTGTTACCCTGACTCCTGAATCCTGTGAACGCAGTAAATTCATATTTTGGGTCTTTAACAATTCCTTGCAGTGCAGCTGCAGTGAATGGAGAGATGCTGAATCGAGAGGTAGCTGTTTGTCTTGGCAGGCTGGGATCTGTTGAAAACATGTTTTTGTTCTAATATGTTTCGATCTGTACCACAAACAGGCTTGTAGAACACACCAAAAGACAAGTTTTGGTAGATTTCGAGTCAGGGGGCTCCAATGGATGGAATTTAAAATACAAGAAATACTCAGGTTCGTGAGAAATGGGTCCAGCTGCCACCAGCTTTGGGGGAGAAGCACCACAGTCCAAGGGGTGGCAACCTTGAAAGCAAAGACAGTTGCCTCAGGCTTGTTCCTTGCTGAGGATGGTGGTCATGTGTCCCCTGCTCCCGCAGCACCCGCGCCTTTCCCTCCGTGCATCCCCAAACAATCTCCTTTTGTCCAGCACTCTGCCTCTGAAAATGCTCATGAGCTTGGACTGAAAGAGTTTTGTTGCTTTGAAAGGCTCTGGGGCTGTTTTGACAATTTGGCTTTGTTTGGAACTTCATCACGGCAGTGCTTCAGTTTATTTATAGAAACTCAGTCTCCCACAGATGACTGAAGAAATTCAGTGTTGTCTGATGTTGCTGCTAATTTTTAGGAACATTTCTAATTTGATTTACAGTTGTCAGTGAAGGGCTTCATTGTTCTGCGCAGAATTCTGTCTGGAACAGCCCTGAGCTTCATTTTTTGTGAGTGGGCTTGTGGAGAAGGCATTGCACATCCCCAAAATGGCATTAGCACCACTTGCAGAAGGGACTGGCAGTGCTCGAGGTAAGTCAGCGAGGGCTGGCAGTGAACAGGGTCCTGTGGACATCCTTTGGAGCAGGGGGTCTTTGGGAAGCACATTCCACCAGGATCCAAACCACAAGTTTGTGTCAGCCACTCTCCACCAGGCTCCCACATGGATCACGTGTGGGCCTTGGCAAAAATGTACTGAAAATGAGGCAGGGATTGAACTTTAAACAGATCTTGTGCTCTCCAGCCCGTAGTCTGGAATATTATTATTTCTCCTGAAGTAGACAGTTCTTGTAGCAGTGCCTATTTTTAGGGGAGTTCAGCACAAATTCTGGACCCAGGAGCTTCATGCAGAGACTTTGAGATGTGCTGATCCTTTGTTTTTGGCTGGCCAGTTGCTAAGACACAACCTGAGAGATGACAGCGAGCCACTGCATTTCAGTCACTGAAAATGGGCTCCTGTTTTTCACCCTCCCAGCCTGGCTTGTCCCAGAGCTCACCAGAGGTGCCAGAGCTCACCAGGGCATCGTGTCACCCCTGATGGCTGCACAGAGCCCCAGGAAAGCAGGCTGGTCTCCAGGAGATGAGCTCGTGGCCCTGCATGATGGATGAATAATCCACGAGGACAACGCAGCTTTTGTTGAGTCACTCATGGAATTTTCTCCTTCCCACCTGCATGGCAGGGCTGGTGCCTCAGGGGACACCTGGCATGGGCCTCAGTGCTTGAACCAGCACCTGGGGTGCGTGAATGTGTGAAATTTGTGTGTTTTGTGCCCTCTGCTTTCCTCTGGGCATTCTGCATGGAGCCTGGAGATGTGTTTTGCACTCCCAGCTCACTTCCCCCCTGCCAGCTCCATGCTCTGGCTGTGGACAGCATTTCCCTCAGTGTTCTTCATACCAGTCTGTGGTCACTCTGGAGACACTGGACACGTTGTCACCCTGCCAGCCCACCCAGAGCTGTGTGCCCTTGGGCTCCTGTGGGCAGATTCCTGCCTGCAGGAACAGCTGGTGGGGTTACTGCTGGGCTGTGATTCCCTGGAAGGTGCTGTCACAGCCCGGGTGATGTGAGGGAGGTCTCAGATAAGGTCCCACCACCTGAGCTTGCCAGGCAGCTCTTGTGACCACAACACTGGGCAGTAATTCCTGAGCAGATCCAGCCCTAAGCTGGAGTTCCCTGCTCAGCAGG